AGCTGTTGAAACTTGGTTGGTATTTTTAGCACATTAAAAAAAACTGTGACATACTAAGGATAACACTAAATATTTTCCTGTAAATTAAGTTACAACAAAATAAAATCAACTTGTATGTTACTGCTGATTTGGACTATAGATTGACTGTAAATGTGGGATTTCATCCACTAGCTGCATGCTTTTCTGGAGGAAAACCAAGTCTACTTTACAGTTCTAAAGTGCTCTCTGCTCAATCATTTAAAATTATTTGAAAACTAATTTACCATAAATTATTGCATTTCAAATATACAGTACTGTATAAGCAAAGGCTTTGCGATTGCAATTGTGAGATAATTAAACTTGTGAGTGGTACAGAACAGTATGAATTCCACTAGACCAACTTCCCTGTGAGGGATCGATATATCAACAACTTACATTTATATAGAACTCTGCATTGAGGATAACATCTCTAAGCACTTCACAGTAGTTTACAAAGGCAGTCTACTCATTCTTCGTCAGTAAATACTGGATGTAGCCATGATGACTATGGACTTGCTTCTAAGCATTCTCGTGTTCATACATTGGCAAAAAATGTTAAGCTTTGTATTGCATATTTGACTCAGAAGAAGCTTAAGCAACCAAATGAAATAGGCCATGAAATCTTCCCATCAAAATCACATAATAATAGTCCTTGCATTTGATATTCTTGCTAAGGCATTGAGACATCTTGAAGTGCTTCACAGAATATATTGCAACACGGGTTACTTCACTGCGTTGCCATGAACAAACAACACTGCTTACAGCGATTAAAAATTCAACAATTGTACAACAGCTAAACTTGTAGCAGTCTGCTAATTACCCAACAGTTTGTTGTAATTTCATGATCACTTGAGCTGCGTAAAATATTATAAAAACTGTCTTGGATAGTTTGAAGTAGTTGGTCTAGTTTGATTTAGTTGTTAAGGTCTGCAGTTTCTTCCTCATAGAGTAAACTGTGATGTTCAATAATGTCTGTATCTGCATTATCCTCCAAATATCTGCTAGATCTATTATGATAGTAAAATACACTAGAATATAATTCTCTTTTGGTGCATAATGGATAATACTTCAAGAGTTGCACTATGTGGACACTTCTTTCTTTTGTGCAAATTAATTTACTTTCCTGCTTTAGCCCCACCCACCCCACCACCTCTTTCCAAAGGTAGGGGACTTAAGCTGCCAAATGTCTCCACAGGCACCAGCAACCCCAGGTACCCAGGCCCAGTGACTGTCCACACGCATTCCAGCATGAGTGACTGGCTTACAATTTAAAATTGACTTCCTAGCCCAGAAAAATTGAAGCCAACTATGTCCACTGACCGTCTATTTGAGATCAACTGGCTCGACAGTATTTCTGGCTCTAAAGTTTAACACCATGGTACTGTTTACTCAATAAGCTTCCTTTTTCTGCAGTTTATATAGCAACTCTTAAGTAGATAGCTTATACCCTGGGCCAATAGAAAAGTACAGAAATGTTCGCCCAAAAACGCAGAGCACTTTGCAGATATCACGCGGGGGGTGGGCTGGGTGGGGGTGGCTTGTTAAATTTTGCGGAAAATTGCAATGGGTTAATTGGTGCTATTGAGAGACACATTTTGCTACTACCTACAATAGCAATGGTGTACTTGCAAACATGGTCAATTGTGTGATAGCAAACGTGGCATAACAACTGCCCCCCCCACCCACCCCTTCATAAAGGTCATCTGGAGAGAGTACAATTCTATCTGAGGGACAGATGGAAAAAGACGTGCTGCCCCTTGGCTTCTTCCCGGGATTTACAAACAAGTTTGACATGTTTGTATTGTACAACCTAAAAAGTGAATCACCCCTGGTTCAAACTATAGGTGTGTATTTCCTGAAAATGTGGTTATGTTTCAAATACTAAATATTTTAATTTGAATAATACAGGACTTACCAAGAATTCATCACAGTCATCACAGTATGTGACGCAGCAGCTTTTCCTGTGGAGATTTACTCACCAGAGAAGTCGATTTCCCGCACACGCCGCTTCCTCGATCCCCAAATTCACAGCGCCGGCATGCACGCTCAGAGCCTCTCCAGCCAGAGTAGCTGCGTCAAGCAAATGGCGCGAGAGGCATGGGGTCTTTGTGGGAAGGTTAATACCCGAGGAGTTGTTTGTAGCGGACGAGGGTCGTTGTAGGGGAAAAGGTGCTCCCGCACATTTCTATTGGTCCAGCTTATAACTCTTTACCATCTATTTTGAGCCATATCAAGGTAATCTTGGGTTTTCAGCTGCTGAAGCTGCAAGATTTTCGTATGCTATTTATGGATGTACACGTTCGGTTGAAGAGCACCTATTGTACTCTATACTTTGCAGCCGCCTGACTCATCTGATTTGGAAGTTCCTAGCTGTTGTTTCTTTGTATTGAATAATACTGACATGTACCAATGCAAAGAAATACATAAATGAAGCTAGTTTTCACAAACCATGAGGGAACATAAGAGTTCCATCTGCTGACAATATTTTCGTATGCAAAAGAAGGTGATTTTTACACCCCCAAATTTATTTAAAGCAGCTGCTTAGATTTTGTAATAGTTGTTTTTGTGGAAGAGGAACAAATGATTTGGGTGTGATGGTGTGAAAATTTCCACACATATGATTTATAATAAATGAAACTAAGCTCTGTGTTACAAGCATCACTGGAGCTTGTAATTACAAAAACATCAAGTTGTTAAAAACCAAACTGATTTACGAATCAGTAAATCTGCTGTAAAAGAAATCTTACAAGGAGGTGCCAATAAATTGGCAGATATCAAATGATCCATTAATGGCAGTTCATAATTTTGAAGGTGGAACACCCAGCCTAATGTTTAATGCATATTTTGAACTTAATGCCTTGCAAGGAACAGTTTGAAAGTTTAACATATGTGGTATCTTTAATAAACAATTTTTTGACGTTTTAAAAAGTTGCATATTATCCAATTTCATCACTGACTCAACAGAACAGCAACAATAACTTACATTTATATAGCGGAGTTCATGCCGGCTGGCCAGCGTCTCGAAGCACTGGAACTACTTTCAGTGCACTGCAGTAAACATAGACTTCTGGTGATTCACTGAATATTGAGCTGTACCACCTGTTTTTGTGTGCCAACTTGATTTAAAACAACTGCACAACTCCCTGTTCTAATCTAACTAAAGAAATAGTAGAAGGGATCAGGAGGGTTGAGGGCTGTATCGAGTGTGAAGCATGGACGAGTGAGCTTATATGTCTGTTTCCATCTGTATCATAGAATTACTCAGCACAGAAAAAGGCCATTCAGCCCATCGTGTCCATGCTGGGTCTTTGAAAAGAGCTATCCAATTCAATTCCACTCGCCTGGAAATGTACATCTGTGCAATTCTAGTGCTCTACACCTACTGTACTATACTGTAAAGAAAGGGGGGTTAATAGTTGCAAGGCCTCTGACAGTCCAAGGCGACTGTTTTTTTTTTCTTTCTTCATACCCTGTAAAGTTAGAGAGTGTGCAGGAAAGTGGAATTAGACTTAGTGCAAAGGATGACCCGAGGCATCTGTTTACTATGCTCTAATATTCTATGCTTCAAAGAGGAAAAGGGGTAAGGTGAGACACAGAGGTTACTAGATATGAAAGCAGCGTTAAAGTCCTAAATGACTGTTGGTATCCGGTCTTCTGAATGAAAGTGCCAAATGGTGCTAAATTACAGGTATTGTTGGGTATTGCACACTCACTGTAGCCCCATTGGGAATTTTTCTGTGACACCTTTGAGGAGATTAATTTTCAAATGGCATGCAGTACACAATCCCACTCTACCGTAAAACAAATGTCAAATTTTTAAAATGCTGCATGAGGCTTCTCATTGGATAATGGTGGCATTTTGAGGGTTTCGAGAGGATAGCTTTTGGTGTCCCACTCGCAGAGACAACAATAGATTTTTGAAGTTTTATAAATTAAAAAATTTGTATTTTATCGGGCAAGTTTCGGCTTTGAAACTATTTGCAACTCTTAAGATTGTGTCGGTCTGACTCAGTTGGGAGCACTCTCGACTCTGTCAGAAGTTGTGGGTTCAAGCCGCACATTGGAACTTTAGTTCCCACTCCAGGCTGACACTCCACTGAGTGCTGGAGTGTGTTGCATTGTCTGAGGTGTTGTCCTTCAGAGAAGACTTTAAATTAAGGTCCTGTCTGCCTCTCCAGGTAGACATTGAATATGCCATGGCACTATTCAAAAAGAGAAGGGAATTTATCCCAGTGTCCTGGTCAACAATCCCCCAAATAAAATTTGGTCACTCACTCTGTGGCTGTTTGCAGGATATAGTTGTGCGCAAATTGGGTGCTGCATTCACCCACAAAATACACAGTCACTACGTTTTTTCAGTGAAGCGTTTTAAGAAATCTCAATGATATGATAAGACGCTGTTATCAAATGCAAGGTATTATTAGAAATTTACAGCACAGAAAATTATTATTGACATAATTCCAACCTCTTTGTAGCCCTCTTGCGTTGTAGCCTTCTTGTAATCCAATTCTGAGGATTTTAATCTGATGTATGAAAAACAATATTTGCAGTCTTTGCGTATCTGACGGGAAGCTGATCTGTTGGCAAAATCGTTCTGGTTCCTTGAAACAGATGTTGTCCCTTGCTTCCTTCAAGGCTTCGGTCACCCTCCTACTCTCCCTGCCCTCCACCTCTCCTGATCCAACCCCCCCCCAGTTCATGTCCAAAGTCCAAATCGTTGATTGTCCAGTGCCTTGGGATGCCCCCCACTCCCCCTCAACCTCCGACGTGAAAGGTCCTTCAGAAATGTAATTTGTTGTTGTTGGTTGTTTGAAAATGTGCAGTGAAGTTGCTTCCTGAAAGGGTGCTTCATTTTTTGAGGGGCGGGGGGGGGGGGGGGGAATAAAAGGGCATTTGGTACATTGTCTGATGTCTCTCCTGTTTTGTTCAATGCAATAACACCACTTTGCTCTGAAAGTAATTTTATTTTTTTCTCTGTACAGGTGCAGCAGTTGCTGGTGTGTACAGGGTGGCAGGGAAGACAATGGCTCCACTGGAGGCACTAGTATTTGGTGCTGGACAGACAGTGCTCACGGTTGTCATCTCCTTCTCGAGGATTCTAGCCACCCTATGAGGGAGAACGTTGCAAATTTCAGTCTACAAAGCAAATACTGTTGGAGTTCTTAATGAGAGAGCTAGCTTGATGGGAAAACCTGCTGAAGGCCAGCAGAATTAAATGTCCATTGTAAGGCCAGGGAGTTGTGTCCAAGATGTAAGGTGGCATGGGATCTGCAGGCCTGTGAAGAAATGGCACTCTGCTGTTCGAATCATTGCACTACTGCACTGTTCATGCTCCTGCTAACAAGCAAGGCCTGAAGATCACTGAAGTCTGGGAAGCCTCAGAAGCAAGCACTTTGTACAGTTTGTTGAGGATTGGTGGTGACAGATACACTCTACTGTAAATAAGCTCTGATACAGAGACTGCAGGGACAGAATCACTCAGTATTCTATGTGCCAAATTTAAAGCTTTTTTTAAAGAAAACAAATTTGAATATTTCACAATTGATCAATTGTGCTATTCGATATCCAGGTTAAAAAGTGGTCTTTGGGAGATGTTTACTACTGGGTGTATTAGTACGTTATTGTCATGGCATTTCCTATTCCCACTTCCTCCTTCCACACACAATATTGTGTGGATACTTGTGCATTACTGTGGGAGTAGAAAAATGCCAGATTTAGAGGCTACTTTTTGTAAAATGCTGCTTTATTGATCTTTGTTGCTGTCTTTGCCACACGCACTCTGGTTTAACGATGCTACCTTTTTTTCACAATGGAGCTCCTTTGCCATTGGTTGAGTGGGATTCTCCACCATCACTTATTGAGCATGTCAAGCCAATATCTTTGTGAACAAACCAGATTTTAGCAGGATGCCAGATATCTTGCATGCAAAGCAATGTGGAAACTGGTTCTCTCGGTTTATACTGCCTCATTAAAACTGAGAAAAATGTAGTTGAAATTTGATTTCGAACACATCTCCAAATGTACCTTCAATGCTTCAAAGTATACCTTCCACCTTTGTCTAGTGCGGTCCTCCCAGATGCTCAAGTGGATTCCTAACCAGATCAATTCAATAGTCTTCATATCGGTCATACTTATCTTAAATGTTTCAGACTGATCTGTTGGGCTTGTTTACTGACTGCCAGCTGGAGATCCTCAATGCAGAAGTAATATTGGACACAAAATTGGGCATTGCTTATCTTTATCTTTTTTATTGACTAGAATAATTTTGGCACACACATTGTGAAATGCCAAGTTTATACCGTCTATTGATGATTGAAGCTTTTTTTTAAATGTAGAACACTTAGGAAGGTGCATGAATGAGACGAGAATGAGACCAAGTTGTAACAAATTTCATGCATGAGGCTGATTTTTACTGAATACATCTAAAATGGTACAGTAGCAAACCTTGTGCATCTATATTTGCAGCTTAACAAAGTGCTGTGATGTGTTTTTTTTTAAAAAATATTTATACTGTTATTTCTGATCTGACCATATTTAGAAGAAAAAACACAAGAGAAAAACTGAAACGAAAGAGGCAATTTGTCCCATCAAGTCTATTCTCTCAGGCTCCCTTAATCCACCCCACGCCATTGCTTGCTTCATTATTATTGATTCAGGTCCCCCTCAAAGGCATTTGAGAATTAGGCACTTTATCAGAGAGTCTGATCCATGTATTTACCAAATCGAAATACTTCAGTTTAAACTCTTAAGCCTCTGAATTTTACAGTTATGGATCTAGACTTGTGTTAACTGACCAAGTCAAATATCCTCCTTGCATATTTCTGATTTTATAGATACTTAAATCACTCTTTAATGCCATTTCCTGTTATTTTTCTTTAAAACTTTAATGCTTTTTAAAAATTGATGTATATGTTGTATTTGTACCTATCAGTATACATACAGTCTCTGGTCCAGACATTCTTATGGAACACATTGCCCTAGAAAACTCACTATCCTGCTCGTGAGTAGGAATGCACAATTATACATTGTACTCAATTCATTTACATGGTAATGTACAGGTCTCAGAGAGGCTATTGTGGTCTCGTCCAACAGGCCAGCCGCAAAATTAGAAGAATAACTAACTTTCTTATACCCTTCGACTGCTTCTGTTCCCAAAAGTCCAGCCATTTCCTGATGAATTTCAGTATGGTCCACCTCACATGTATCCCCGGTCATTCTGTTCCATAGTAATTTCAATAGTTAAACCTGTCCGCCCTTCCTCTTTTGGGTGTGAGTCCTTTCCTCTTCTGAGCTCGACTAGTTTCTCAGTCCACCCACATTGAAACTATTTCCCTGGTGAAGTATGAATATTTATATTTGAAAATATTAATTTGCACACAAGTCCTATAAGTGTGTGTGTGTATATATTTAACACCACAGAATTGACTTCAGTTAACAAATATTAGCATATCCTGTATGCAATATTTTTAACCTTACTGATATAACTTGAATGCAAATGGTCTTTCATAGGAAGTTTCAGTAAATGTTGATGCTGTCTGAAATGTCTGTTATATTGTTTAGAATAAATGTAAGACAAAATAAAATTGTTAAGAGGTAATAAACTGGAAGACCTATCCAGGGTTATCAGACTACTCAATCATGGGTTGAGTCTGGATGGTGTTGCACCGTACAGCAATCCTTGGAAAATTTGGCCGAATTAACATGTAGGAAATGGATGAAGAAGCTCCATCTGGTTATCTGTGAAACCAGTAAACAATCTCTATGTGAATATCTGTGATGCAAGATAATTTTTTTTGCTACCAGCCATATTGACAGCTGTGGTCCTTTCCAGTTCTATACATTCCTGTGTTCATTGCACTTTTTCTCATATATGAAATGCTGTTGTTTGGAAATGGTTCATGGTTTTTGTCGTCTGAGCTTGAACTTGAAGTGTATTGATGCTGGCAGTACAGGGGAACTGTTACTGGATGCAGGAAGTCAGTGCTCATTCCTTGCTACTACTCTTATGCACTTTGAGAGCAGATTTATAAAAAGTGTCAAACACAGATGTGCGTTACTTTGATATGTATCCTTTGCAACACTCGGTGTTTCAATGTTTGGAAGACTTTGTCAATTTTTTTGTGTTTGTGTGTAAACCTATGAATTCTTTATATATCCATGTTTGTTCTTGCTTTGAAGTCTTCTGTTCCTCAGTTTCCATTAAAACGTAGCACATGCAGTTAGGTTTAATCCAAATGTCTACTTCTGAACGTTTTGTTCTATAAATATGTAATAACTGTTGAGTTTGACCAATATGTTGAATTATTTATACGTTTGTTTCCCTAGTTTCAGTACAATTATTTGTAGCAGGTTTTTCCATCTTATTCCTGTACAGTCTATCATAAGATTTATATTGGGTATAACCTCTCTCAGCTTTGCTTGACTACTACATTACATTTCAATGCCTGCCCAAAGACAATGGTACAAATAGCAGGAGTGGTTTTAAATAATATTTATATTTGAAGGGTGTGTGAATTTGATAATACAGAGATCTTAAGTCTCAAGAAAATGTCCTGAGCTTTTATACCATTTCTTTTGGGCAACATTAGTTAACATAATTTCTGCAAAACATGCACTCAAATTATTTGAAAGGTGAATGAGTTGAACTGTACAAAAATAAAAGGAGTAAACCTCATCCTTTACCTTATGGATCCTTTTGAAACTGAAAACATATTTAGTCTATTTTTAGAAGCAATTTTTGCCCTGATTTACAATTGCAATTTTCTTTTATCTATTAGAAAACTGGCTTGTTACAGTTTGTACAGTGTACTTCAAATCATACTTGTATATTCTTTGTTGAAGTACAAATGGAAGATTTTCATATAAAGTACTTTTTTGAAAATCACTGTGCAATCTGAATATTGAAAGATTGTTTGTAGTACAGGATGTACAATATCTTGATCAAGAGTATACAGCCCTTCAATGAGTCTCATTCTAGGTTAATAAACTTCCAGGATAATTTACAGCATTAACCAGATGTGATCTAACAGAGTAACATCAACAACCTTTCACACTGCAACTTTGGGGTCTCAAAGGCTATTATGGTGGCTCTCCTGGTAGAAAGTTTAATTAGCAGACCAAAATGCATGTTGCCCAGCCATTAAAAGCTGAATGAAACCAGTATTTTTATTTTAAGAGAGATTTGTGCAACAACTGTTAATTTGTGCATTTTTAAAATTTCTGCAATTGGTTTTCTATGGAGCTTTTGAAATGTAAGTAGTTTAGGAACCATCTCAGACTTAACCACTGGATGGGAATCCTTGGTGCCACCTCACGCAACTATTGACCAGGTGACAACAGTGGGAGCCAATTCTAAAGCAAGAAAAACTTAATTGATTAACTAATTTCAAATAACTGTAAACATAACCCTGTAATTACTTGTACTGAGTGTTTGACTGCAAATGTGTGCGGGAGCATTCAATTCACACATCCTGGAGCAGTCCAGCTTTTCAATATCGGAGCCTGTTGGAAAAGTTGTTCCTCGTTATGGATAGGGTGTGATTGAGTGTAAACCTTGCAAGCGAATCACCTGGGTTCAATTCCAGGCAGGCCGAAACATTGGGCAAGTTTCCTTACTCCACAAGCCTAATAATCCCTCCAAAACAAAACAATAATAAATTTGTCATTTTCAATTCATGACTGTTTGTGTGACACTGCTGTCCACAATTGGCTGCCGCGTTTCACTCACAAATATATGGTCAATTCACTTTATAGAGTATATTCTGTGAAGTGCTTTGAGATGTCGATAAGACGTGAAAAGCGCTATATCAAATGCAAGGATTATTATTTGTAGTGTAATATGTGTGTGTGTGTATGTGTCTGTATACTATATACACAATATATAATAATTGGTTTGGGTGAAATTTAATAAATGAAATGTCCATGTTGCAGATATTGTACATAATGCATTAACAGAGTTCTAGTATTATAGACTGAATCCTAGTGCTGCAATGGAAACATTCCAGCAACCAGCAGAATTATTCAGAGCGAATGGATTGCTCTTGCAATCATATTTCGATAAGCAAAATAATTCATCTGTGGTTTCTAACCTTTTAAAAATGTCACGTAATCCGCCTTTCGATATGTAAAAGCATCCCTCGTTGGCTGCTGACCTTTTTAAAATACCTCACATTGAATACAGTCTAGGGACAAAGTATTATTTGTGTTATGTTGAATATAAATCAAAATTGCTTGGCAGGACTGTTCACACTCGTTTCACAAAAAGAAGAATTCTAGCTTCAAGCAATTGTATGTTAATTTCCATATTGCTGTTAATGCTCCTCCACCACACACACACCACCACCATTGATTTCGGGTACATTACACCCTGGGACTGGGTTTGCTTACTCTGTGATGTTTACCAAAAGTTGTAAATAATGTATATTATGGTTTTTAATTTTTCTTACAAGCAGCCATTTTTATTTCCCTATTTACGTACAAACTTGTACTGTACATAATTACATGCAGAATAAAATTTTGCAGTGAAATATCTTGACTTGGCCTCCTACAATTTCAGATTTGATGTAAAGTTTATCACACATGCATTTACCCTGAATTCCTAAAGTTCATCAACTCCTCACCAGTAGAATGTAGTGTGCCATGTGGGGCAAGGCGATGTTTGGAGAGGATGCTTATTGCTTACAAGGCAATGATTGGGCCTCATCGGAACATTTTGTGGAGTTTTGGGGAACCCATGAAAAAAGTATCATCACAGCTAATAATCCATTCATTTGGTATAGTGCCTTTCCTGTCAGGAGATGTTTCCAAGGGCTTCATAGGATTTACCATAAAGTGTAGCGACAATGTATTTTGTAGGTGAACGCAACAACTAATTTACATTGTAATGTTCCAAGACATGCTGTGAATGACCCAATTTTAACCAGGTCACAAGGACAAATTTGCTTCAGCTGTGTGTGGGAGGGGGCTGTTGCATGGGGATGATACCAGAGATGAGAATACATGAAAATACTGATTTTTTTTAACAGTATAATAGAAGGGGAATTTACTAATACCGAATTAACAACACTTGTTATGTATTATGTTTTTTATTACAAATAATTAAAGAAAAACGTAGAAATTGTGTTTAAAAATGTGTCCTAAGCACTCCTTAAAGACTATTTGTTTGGGATGAAACTCCCCTTTATTTGGGAAATCCAATTCTCTCACAGCCTTTTTTGAATCGAAACCTGGCCAGCTTTGTATTTAATCATTTTGGGCAGGATCTGGTCCATTCATTCCTCACTACTAGAGTAGCTTTTTATAACTTTATTTTCAAAATGACTTGAAGCAGAGTTGTTCTATCCACAAATTAAATGTTCTGTGAGTTTCCTGATCCTTTATAAATTGATAATCGGGCTGTGGCGAGCATGGATGTTGTGTTCTGCCAAATACTGTCTTAAAAGATATTCGTTTTAAAAAAGGGAGTAAAGCTTCTTTTTAAGAGGGGCTTTTATGAATATCAGAACCCAGTGGAGTCCCTGGGTTAGGAAGATTACAATCTGCCAGCATTGCTGATAAACATAGTGTTGTTAATATTCATCAATCGTACTTGTGTATGTCTCGCATTCTGCCATCCAGACCTTACAATACCATTAGTTGCACTATAAATCCAGTTAAGACTGAACCCATTGCAATAAAACTGATTATAAATTTGAAAGCCTTGCATTGCCCTTCGGCTTTCTAATATTAGTATTAGTATTCTATCTAATATTAAACTAGCTGTTTGCAGACTCAGCTCCTTTGTAAAATTAAAATAAGCCAGTGTTTGTCAATGGTTATTAGAGCTCTCAACATGAGGTCCTCCAACAATAGCGATTTGGAATTGGAAGTAAAAATGTCAGATTCTCACTTTTAATTCCACTTACATTTTCAGTTACATAAAAGACAAGCATCTTAATGGATGATTTGTTTTCCACAGTACAACTTTGTGCCCCAGCATGAGTCTCCACCTTCAGGAAAGAGAATTGGGGAAAATTATTTTCAGTCGGTGTTGGCATGTATATACAATAATAAGAATAAGAATAATTCCTGCAGTTCATATACTAATAGTTATGGAGTCCTGCAGCTCAGTGGTTAGAGCACTCGCCTTGCAAGCAAGAGACCTGAGTTCAATTCCAGGCAGGGCGAAACCTTGGGCACGTTTCCTTACTCCACACGCCTAATAATAATCCCTCCAAAAAAAAACAGAAAACGATAATAAAAAAATTGGTCATTTTCAATCCATGACTGTTTGTGGACACTGCTATGCGCAATTGGCTGCTGCGTTTCGCCCACAAATATACAGTCAATTCACTTTACAGCATATTCTGTGAAGCGCTTTGAGACGTCTGGAAGACGTGAAAAGCGCGATATCAAACGCAAGGATTATTGTATCATGTCTCTTACCTGTTAAAGGTGAGGGCTTTTTTTAAACCAATTTGTTCCATTTTTTTTCTTGCCTAAAGGTGTTGATTTGTGCCAGCAACCCTATGGTGCCTTACATAAATAATTATTCCTTATGTGTGGGCATAGATCGTGAGATAACAATTCAACTGAAAGCATTAGACCACATTCTGCACTTGCTAACATTGATGTATGAATGCTTTCCATTGGAAGAAGAAACCTGACTATTTGATTCTCCTTAGTTGGAATCATGGAGGCCAATTGTAATGTATCTTAAGAGATCAGCTATCTGAGAACAGACCATGATTCATAATAATATTATAATCATCTTTGCATTTGACATAGCGCCTCATCACATCAGAAAAACATCTCAAAACACTTCACAGGATTTACTGTGAAATTGAGTAGGCAAATGCAGCAGCCCAATTGTTCACGGCAATTTCTCACAAACAGCCATGAAATAAGTAAATGATTTTATTGAGGAGAATGTTGGTCAGAACACCAGGAGAAACTCCCTTTTCAAGTCGTGTTACAGGATTTTTAACGTCCACCTGAACACGCAGATGGGATCTTGGTTGAACATTCCATCTAACAATGCAACTCACCGCTAGTGCGGCATTGGAGTATCAGCTTAGACTATGTGAGTTTAAGTCCTGATGGAGGATTTGAACTCACAGCCTTCTGAATCAGGCAAGAGTGCCACTGTTAAACCCAGATTGCGATGTGCGATTGCTCTTAAAGACCTGAAAACTAAACACGGAGTCAGTGCGGTATACATTCAAAAAGCTTTATTTCATATATATATATGAGGTGCAGAGCAGTAGCAACAACTCTCCCAAGGTACTGCTCCCCACACTGCACACCAGAGAAAAACAACATCTGACCTTTATACATGTTCCATTTTCCCATAATTGGATGTCTGTTTCTTTCATAAAAAGAGATATGGGTCCCGGGTTCCTTAGCACAATAACATATACATTGTTAGTTGCGAAACCAAAACAAAGCTGAGCTTACACCAAATGCGAAAACATGTTTTGTCTCATTGCCTTTGCTTATTCTGTAACTTTTGCGATTGCCCAAAGATGTTACATTCCCACACTTTCCACACCACCACTGAACCAAGCTGTGTCAACCTGGTTTGTTTGATGCAATACCAAATGACACAGTTCAATGAACCATCAGCAGTGGAAGCTAAATCTTAATTTTTTTTCTCAAGTAACACAATTCTAAGAAATATTGTGTTCTGGGGCAAAAAATGCATATTCTAAGTTTCCTGATACAGTTTCTCCCAAGTCGTAAATTTGTTTTTGGAGGGAATATTGTTTTACCTGAAATTCTCAACTCTTTGGAATCGACTCCCTGTGAACAATTGATAAGGAGTAAAGAGTCGAAATTAGTGGTTCATCTGATACTTCTGGTGATGCCTGGGATATTGTTTCTACAATATTGGACTTCTAGCTCTTGAAATTTTTTATCTACAAAAATCTACTATCCCGCTAAAGGAAAACGAGAGATTATGGGCCAATAATTTCTACATTTAACACTGGTGTCAGCCAATAGATGGCACTCTTGTGCTGTGTTCACAAGAGAAAGAAGGCCCTTTTGATCTCATCCTTCTACAATATAGACTCCACCAGCTTCCCATTGTAGTATGGAGCTGCTTCTAACACGAGTCCAGTACAAAGAAGACGCCACTCTATCTGAGGTAGTTGGTGAGGTTTGAGAGTGAACTTATTGGGGTGAATCAAGTAGAAATCCACTCTATGTGAAATGCATCCTACATCAATCCACCAGTAAACCTTGCTTCCTTTCTAGGCATCTCACTTATCACGAGGTTGTAGAGATTGGTGTAATTCACAATTAAAATGGCAAAATATTGTACCAAATTATTTTTCTGCATGTCCTATGATATCGGCTGCATTTCTCCTCCCAGTGATATCTTCCACCTGTGATCCATTTGTATTTCTTCCGAGATGGAGTTCAAGAGAGCGGGACAGAAAGCTTGCCTGCTAATAATGGAGTGGATAGGGCCAATAATTATACCAATAATGGGATGTGCACATTTTCAAATAATAGTCTAGTTTTCAAAGAAAGGGTAATTCAGAGATACAAAAATGTTAGTTCAATTAGTCAGCCTTTTCTGGTGAATTTGGGGGTGATTTTCTCACACAGCTCCACACTTCTATAAGGAATAAGGCATAAGAGGTAATTTAACCCTAGTAAATTTTGGATTACTGGTGCGTTTTTACATATTGATACATGGCACAGGGCAGATTAAGGGATCTGTAACAAAGACTGATATCTTGGCAAATCCTGAAAGATGCTGAACTTGAAGAAATTGTCCTGGAGGACCATCGAATATTGCATTTTTCCCATTGTGGGGTGCATACTCCAGCATCCCCACTCTGACACAAACCATCAGAAATATTTATCATAAGTCCATTTTGCTTCAAGATTGCATAGAATTACGAAAAGTTGTTCAATTCAATCTTTTATTGGAAACCAGACTTTTTTTAAAAAAACCCTGTCAGTCAGCTTTTAATTTAAGACCAAATTTAAGAATTTTGCACAATTTGGCGCAATTTTAAACTTTAACTCAAAATGGGCTAGCAGGATAATAATAATAATAATAATAATCCTTGCATTTGATATAGCGCTTTTCACGTCGGGAGGACGTCCCAAAGCGCTTCACAGAATACACTGTAAAGTGAATTGACTGTATATTTGTGGGCGAATGCGGCAGTCAATTGCGCACAGCAATGTCCCACAAACAGTCGTAGATTGAAAATGACCACTTTATTATTGTTTTGTTTTTGGAGGGATTATTATTAGGCGTGTGGAGTAAGGAAACTTGCCCAAGGTTTCGCCCTGCCTGGAAATGAACTCAGGTCTCTCGCTTGCAAAGCGAGCGCTCTAACCACTGAGCTACAGGACTCCACAAGAGTAAATGATAAGAGTAAATGGAATTTCAGGCCTTAAATCTATTGCTTTTTTTTGGTCAGATGGATGTCTTGACACATGCAGAAACCCATCACCATGCTTAAGAGTATCCAAATTGAGCATTCCATGCATCCACCTATGCGTTGAAATTCCAGCAATATTTGTTGAATGGAATACGCATTTTTATCTTGGAGGGACACATCCTGCTTATCAAATTCCAGAGAGGATTCGGTCCAGGTTAGCAAGAGCGAAGGCTTGGAACACCAGCATGTGAGTTGGGGTACTTCTGTAGTCTAACCAGCCAAAACTGCATAGCTTGCCATTCAGCGCAGTCCGGCAAGCTTTCCCGCTGCTTGTCCAGCTAGGGCCACATTAGGACTTTGGCTTGCAGGGTTAACAGGAACCGAGTAGGAAGTGTCATCTATTGACCAACTCCTCAATGGCTTGAAATCACTGAGCAAAGCATTAGGTGGCACACCTGACCACCTGCAGATCTACATCCCATGAATAGTGGAATAATTGGAATCTTGATAGGGAAGCTCTAGTGAAACTTGGCTGCATCAAGGAACTAATAGTTTTGAAACAGAAAATTACCACCTCCACATTTCATTGATTGGTCAAAATAATAATAATAATAATAATTTTTGCATTTGATATAGCACTTTTCACGTCGGGAGGACGTCCCAAAGCGCTTCACAGAACACACTGTAAAGTGAATTAACTGTATATTTGTGGGCGAACGCGGCAGCCAATTGCGCACAGCAATGTCCCACAAACAGTCGTAGATTGAAAATGACCAATTTAATTATTGTTTTTGGTTTTTGGAGGGATTATTATTGGGTTAAAATGTAACCTATATTCAAATGAAGAAAATACCCAGGCTGATAATCTATTCCATTTTCATTTACTGATCAGTTGAGTAAACTCACAAAATACATAGATTGAGTCAGATTTGTTAAATGGAATGAGGGAGGAAACAGGTTCTATTTGAACTTGTTAAAGTTTAAAGTTTGGTTTATTATTTATATATTGATATATTTGCTATATCAAACGCAAGGATTATTATTAAAGGTAAGGATTATTATTGTTGCCCATCCCAGTAATGGCCCTGTGTACTGTATTAATCATACTTCAGCTGTAACAGTGCAATATAAGGTAACATTAAACAAAACCTGGATAACCAACAAGAGAAATTAAAGACACAGGTTGCTAATTTTAATTTCCACTTTGAGAATGTCAGATTGCGGAGAGTCAGGAATCCTGCATTGGCAAAGTCTGACAAACGTCTGGTGAGCGAAGGGCCAGCCAGTCCCCTCAGGCGTTTTGTTGGAGGGTGTTTTTTTTTACGTTTTCTGACTTGGGATTTGTTATTTGCAATTTTGCAATCTTGCAATGTCATATTTGCAAAACAGAAGTTTCAATTAATTTGTAAATAGGGCACTTTAGACCCTAAAACTGTATCTCAATGCACATACACAACACACAAAACAATAATTAGCTAGGTTGCAAAGGGGGAAGAGTAGGAGGATTTTTTTTCTATGTGAGAGGTTAAGATGTGGAATGCTCTGTTGGATCTGGTGATCGAGGCAGATACTAAATTAGCTTTCAAAAGAAAACTACATAGATATCTGAAAAGGAGTAATTTGCACAGGTATGGGGAAAAAAGGCAGGCAAATGGGACTGAATGAATTCTTCTTTCAACAAGCCATCACAGACATGATGATCTGAATAGTTTTCTCCTGTGCTAAAACGTCTATGTTTGTATGGTTCTAAGCAAAGGATCATTAAGAATGGAAAACTAAAAATGAGCAGCACAGAGCAACAATCTAATACAGATACATTGTGTCCCCAGGAATTATACCAGAAATTACAGGACAGATAGTCATTGCACCCATGCTCATAGGCTCAATTACTTACAGAAAATCCAATTCCCAAGTCTGTTCCCATGTCTTTGTTTTTCTTATAATATTTATCCAGCAATTCCAGGATTTTAAACCAGAGTACCACATTCCAGACTTTAGATTCCATTCGACCTGATGTTGGATGGTGCTGAGGTCTTTGGGTGCTGTGTTGAGATCATTTACACGCTCCTGCTTGTCCAGTGATGGACCATTACCCATGAATTCAGGCACTTTTCAATGCCTTCAGGTTATTCACCTCAAATAATTCAATTTAATTTGAGTATTTGTGTATTAATTATATGTTTCTTGTTTGATTATTTATTTTCAGATGATTAACCTTTTTTTGAATGCGTCATTAATTCACTTCCTGTCTTGCAATTCAGGTATTAATGAGCCACTGCCACTATTTCAAGTGACATTTTTCTTCTGATTATCCTACCTTACCTTCCTCCCTCCATCGAAACTCATCTCCCAAAATTCTAAATTACAATACAACCCCATTATCATGCATTTCTTTATAATATACGTTTGTTTATAACACAATTGAGTCATGGACATATTCTTATTTAAAATTGAAAAGTAATGACATGTTTTGAAGTGTGACAACTGGGCTTGATGTATGCAGCGCATTGATGTACCCAACCAGCTTCCTGCTCATGTCCGTCACCGTTCTGTGATCTGTGACATCAGGATGTGGACACACTGACCAGCCACCACTCTTGATTGTTCCTTGTTGTAAGGTTTCATGGAATTTTATGGACCCTCAACAACCACCTTATAACATACGCTACTATAACTGGATTTCATTTCATTGTTGTTTGTAAGACATTGCTATTGTGAATTAACTACTGCATTTTTCTCCTTAACAACATTCACTTCACTTACAATTAATCTCATTCTGTAAAGCACTTTGGGAAGTTTCCTTTGCATCAAAGGCGCTGCTATAAGTTGTTTTTGCCACCGCCATCACACAGCACGAGATGGTTCTGAAAGAGCATCTGAACCATATACCATTTTGATACCACAGTGGCTTACTGACTCAGTTGTCAGTGTATTCAATCAAAAGCACCATTTATGAAGCCAACATCAACCTGCTGAGCTCTTCAGTGACTAACAATATGTACCAACACAGTGCATCAATCGTTTCCTCTGGTGCCAAGTTAACCCACCACATAGGCATTGTCCTCACAAGGAGTGCCTGGATTCTAGCTACCCTCCCCAGTCCCACACTCTCCAGTTTCACAGCACTATTTGATGTAGCTGGAGGGAATTTTGCAGCTGACTCAGGCAATGTGATCCTGATGTGAAACTGATGCATGTCAAGGAGAAGGGAGGCCTTGTAGCTAATTGCTCTGTCGCACTTGTTTCGTGTGTGAGAACCAACACTGGGAGAACCAAAAGCTTCGCTCATTACGCTGCTTTTACTGGTCCACCACCTGCAGCAAGGTGCTTTCAAATAATGATTTCATGAAGTGTTTATGTTCCCACAAAGTCAATTTTCACACTGCTTTGACCGTACAATTACCTGCATTAGACGCATATCATTGACATGACTGTCATTGTACTGATAGTGGCCTTGGATCGTATTTCTTTCTTTACCTGTGTAATTTTAGCAGGTTGTTTCTTCGATCACTGAGTTTTACAACACATGGAATCAATTACACTTAATGGGGTCAAAATAGCATCGGTTCATAACAGTATTCATAAATAGTGGCTCAGAGTTTTAACAACAGAATCATAACGGTAACTAGGCGTAAATCACTTTCAAATCATTGGCTCCCAAAACCTACTAACTGTGCTTTGGAGAAGGGATACCATAAATCGGCCATGACATCTTGCCGGTTATCAGTCTCATTCCCTATCAACAACAACTTGTATACTTGTATACAATAATGTTTTGGAGCACTTTACAATAGTGGGATGGATGCCAATCAAGGGAGGGAGGGGAGAGGAGACGAGGTGACCATAGGCACGGTCGAAGATGTAGGTTCAAAAGAGAGACCTGAAGATAGAGTTGGGGAATCAAGGCAGGGGACTTCCAGAGGTTTGAGTGTAAAAGCTGAAAGCTTGGCCACCGATGGTAGGTTGGAGTCGTGAGCATGCCCTAGTTAGCTGATTGGAGTGGGTGAACAGAGGAGTGGGGGAGAATGAGATCAGAGAGGTTGAGAGGTGCTAGGATGTGAAAGTGTTTATAGATGAGGGTGTTGACCTTGAAATCAATCCACTGAGAGACAGGGAGCCGGCAAGCCTGGCAAGTGACTCAGAGACACTATTTGTTAATCTCATTGCGAACTTATGCTTTTTCAACAGCGAGAATCAAGAAGTGTCTACTTGTATTGTCATCTGAGCTAAACGAAATCCCAATTTCTTGCAGTAAGCAGAAATGCACCGATCGCTAAGATACTTTCACAAGTTGAACAGTTCAAACAGTCTGATGATTTTATTGAATCATAGAAGCATACAATTATGCAGCACAGAAAGAGGGCATTTGGCCCATCATGTCTGTGCGGCTCTTTGAAAAGACCTAGTCAAATCAATCCCACTCCACCGCTCTCTCCCCATATCCCTGAAAACTTGTCCTCCCCAAATAATTATCTACTTCTTTCTTAAAAGTTGTTATCAAGTTGGCTTCCACCACCCTTTCAGGCAATGCAATCCAGATCCCAACAACTTGCTGTGTGAAAACATTTCTCCGCACTTCCCCCCTGTTTCTTCTAACAACTATTTTAAATCTGTGCTCTTGAGTTACCGACCCACCCGTCATTGGAAACAGTTTCTCCTTGTTCACCCTATCGAATCTCCTCATAATTTTGAAAACTTCTATTAATTCTCCTCTTAACCTTCTCTGCTCCAAGGAGAATAATCCCAGCTTCTCTAGCCTCTCCTGCTAACTGAAGTCCCTCATTCCTGGTACCATCCTGGTAAATCTCCTTTTCACCCTCTCCAATGCCTTGACATCCTCCTATCGTGGTGCCCAGAACTAAACACAGTCTCTAGCTGAGGCCTAACCAGTGTTTTATAAAGGTTCATCATAACTTCCTGACTTTTGTATTCCATACCCCTAATTATAAAGCCTAGTATCCCATGTGCTTTTTTAACAGCTTTATCTCCCTGTCCAGCCACCTTCAAAGATTTACTTATTTGAACCCCAGGTCTCTCTGTTCCTTCACCCACTTCAAGATTTGTATGGATGGATACAACAATTTACTCATCTGTTATTTGTTTAGTGTAACAAAAAGCTGAGGATAGTGCAGTGAATTGTCAACATTTGGGGTCTAACCTGTGATATTTATAAACTTATTGCATTAACCCCATGTCAGAACTTGAGCTGACAATCTAGGATGACATTCCAGTGCAGTGGTGGGGAAGCCCTGCATTGTCAGAGCTACTATCCTTCAAATGAAACATGAACAAAGGTCTTGTCCTTTGATGATAAAAATCCCATGACACTATTTGAACAGTGAAGGGAGTTTCTCCAATGTCCTGGCCAACAATTCTCCAGATAACTTGTTCATGGCTGTTTATGAAGTATTCTGGCACACTACCCTGAATGAGCGATGCTATATAAATACAAGTTGTTGTTTTTGTTGTTAATGTGTGTAAATTGGCCACAACATTTGCTTACAAATATTAAAAAAAATTATTTGGGTAGCTGGCGATGGGACTGAGGCATTTCAGCATTATAGGGGCTACAGCAAAATCAAGGATTATTGTTCTTATTAAAAATCCTTGCCTTGGAATTGTTCCCAGATATTCATTATTCCTTCCATGTGAACCATTGGAAACCTTAGTGAGATTACTGTCATGTAATCACTCTCATCTATCCATTAATCCCTGCATCAGAACTTTTTAATATGACTACAGATTGGTCATCACTCCAGGGTATCTGTTATTCTCTATTCAAGCCATTGAGAATCCTTAATGAGATTACTGCCATTTAAGCATGCCTGGGGATTCATTATTCTCTTGTGACACTGATAGACATTTTGCATCTTTCACATACTGACAACCATTTCCCATGTCTGATTTCTCATAATGTGGAGTTATGTCTGAAAGTCGGCCCCATTTCAAAGCAAAGACTAAAATGTACCTCATGTCATTGCATTAATTATTCAGCGACGGCTGAATGGATTCAATTCTAAATCGCCTGATATCTTTGTCTGTGTATAACGGTCTTTGCTAGTTTCAAATGATTTATATAATTAATAAAGAATTGGCCACAGGTAATTGGCACATTGTCATTGTTGGTTTCATTGGTTTTCGCTCATTGCTGAGGCAGTGCACTTTTATAAATCCTATCTGTGATCATCTGTATTAGTGCTGGGAGCTAGGCCAGACGTAGGTGACGTGTGGTATTAGCAGTCATGATTGCGTTAATACCTGATAACTTAATGGTGTGTAAAACGTGCTTAAGTGCAGTGTGCAGTGCTGTGGGAAAAGGAACAATGTGCATAAGAATTGGAGTACAAAACATCATGTGGGAGGGAATTACAGAGACAATAAGAATCAGGGCAAGACCTTGTCAATGCCGAGTGCAATCTGCGGTGTCAAGCTGTTCAGCCTCTATTGAACTTGATGGTGCGAAACGGTTTGGTGCTGCTGCATCGATATGTTAATTAGATGCTTCTTCTGGTGTGTTTCTGTGCATTGTAGTATCATTGGAGTGACAGCTCAGAGAAACTGCACACAGCGCTGGCACACAGTGTCACTATCCCAGTGTTTGACTCCCAGATAAAAAGATTGACTCTCAGAAGAAAGGAGAAAGAACTTGCATTGACTAGGGATGCAATGTCTCAAAGTACATTATAATAATTATTGCTGACTGTAGTGACTACTGTTTTGTATTCAAACACAGCGGTGATTTTGTACCAGCGCAGTCCCACAAACATCCTACAAACACCTGTGAGATGAATGACCAAAATACCTGTAGGATTGTTGATCAGGATATCGGTAAAGCTCGCTACTCTTTTCAAATAATTTCATGGGATTGTTAACATCCACCTGAACAGGCCTTGGTTTAACACCTCATCAAAATTTGACAATATATCACAAAGACAAAGAGTATCTATGGC